GGGAGAGGTTGGGGGTTGGGTCCGGTTGCTGAGTGTGTGTAGGGTTGCCGAGTGTCCGGTATTTTCGCCTCCTGGCAGGGAAAAAAAATCAGAATATACTGGACATTTTGTGTGTCCAGTATTTTCTGAATTTTTTTACCAGGCAGGAGGCAAAAATACTGGACTGTTCAGGTCAATACCGGACACCTGACCACCCTACTCACAGAACATGGCTCTAGGTGGCGACTGTAGAACAGAAATTGGTACTGGGCACAGGTTGAAAGCACCTTCCAAAAGGATGGTACCACCAGCTTGTGAAAGAAGACCGTGGTACCCACAGTCCCCTCAGAGGCCGACCCAGATCCAGGGAAGGGTCTAAACTGACAGCATGATGGGTAGAGACGTTCTCACTGAACCAGCAGGTGCAGGGGGATATCAAAGTATCACAGCACACTGGAACTGGAGGGGACCTCGAGAGTCATCGAGTCCAGTCCCCTGCCCTCACGGCAAGACCCAGCACCGTCTAGCTCAGGGCTACGCGACACGCAGCACATTGGTTTGTGGTCTACGGGCCGGGTTTGGGTTTACACGGGGCTCAACGTGCGGGGTCCTTTGAACGTGGCCTCCACTGGGAACACGCTCCACAATGGCGCGGCGTCTCCCCGGCAGGTGAGCACTGACAGACGCAAGCGGACGGGCTGGCTGGCACAGATGGGTACAGGGTGTTGGCGTTTCTGGCCCCTCAGGGAGGAGGAGCCCTGGGGCATTGTGGGAAGTGCTGGCTGCTTAGCCTAGTGGGCAGAGCCTGAGAGATGCCGACTGGCTCACACGGGCCACGTTTGGTCTGGCGCCGTGGCCAGGCGGCCCTGCTTCCATCCCACACAGCACAACATCAGCCCTGCTGGGAATTCAGGATGGGGCTCTCGGGTACCTGGCCTTTTATGCCTCTCGTGTCCGGCCTGACTCGCACAGCTCCCCACCCGCCGCCGGTTGGAGCGCTCTGTCTTGGAAACTTCTTTTTACAGTAAAGTCCCTGCAAGAAACGCACAACCTGACGCTTCAAGCGAAACTCCCAAATCACCAGGATACCATTTTCTCATTAAAAGTGCTGTTGGGTAAATGTTGCATTTTATTAATATCAGCAGAACTGACATAAACGGGGCCTGCGTGTTGTGCTGTCTTGCCTTAATCTCTGTATTCATGCCTGTCTGTGTAAAAGAAGCAATTTGCATATATTTGCATATATATTTGCATATACATACTTAAGTTGCGGCCCGCAGCATGTACAGTGAGTATCCTTGTGGTCCCTGGGGCTTCCAAAGTTGAGTAGCCCTGATCTAGACCATCCCTGACAGGTGTGTGTCCAACCTGCTCTTAAATATCTCCAGCGATGGGGATTCCACAACCTCCCCAGGAAATTTATTCCAGTGTTTCACCACCCTGACAGGTAGGAAGTTTCTCCTGGGGTACACAGCAATGTTATTTCGAAATAACTTAATCCGCGGCTACACACCAGGCAGTTATTTCAAAACACTGTCAAGCTGGAGGACTTCTTACTCCGACTCCTGTGACCCTGATTGTGCAAGGAGTAAGGGAAGTCAGACGCTCCCAATTTCTAAATAAGCTATTTCGTAATAAGCTACGCAATTGACATAGCAGGGCTTAACTTGAAATAAGCTATGCACTGTGAGCTGTGTAGATACACCCCGAATGTCCAACCTAAACCCCCCTTGCTGCAGTTTAAGCCCATTGCTTCTTGTTCTATCCTCAGAGGCCAAGGAGAACAATTTGTCTCCCTCCTCCTTGTGACACCCTTTTAGAGACCTGAAAACGGCTCTCATGTCCCCCCTCAATCTTCTCTTTTCTAAACTAAACAAACCCAATTCCTTCAGCCTTCCCTCCTAGCTCATGTTCTCTAGACCTTTCATCATTCTTGTCGCTCTTCTCTGGACCCTCTCCAATTTCTCCACATCTTTCTTGAAATGCGGTGCCCAGAACTGGACACAAGACTCCAACTGAGGCCTAAACAGCACAGAACACAGCGGAAGAACGACTTCTCGTGTCTGGCTCACAACACTCCTCTTAATGCCTCCCAGAGTGACGTTGGCTTTTTTTGCAACAGCGTCACGCTGTTGACTCATATTTAGCTTGTGCTCCACTCTGACCCCTAGATCCCTTTCTGCAGGACTCCTTCCTAGACAGTCGCTTCCCGTTCTGTGTGTGTGAAACGGATTGTTCCCTCCTAAGCGGAGCACTCTGCATTTGTCCTTGTTAAACCTCATCCTGTTGACCTCACACCATTTCTCCAGTGTGTCCAGATCATTTTGAATTATGATCCTATTCTCCAAAGCAGTTGCAACCCCTCCCAGCCTCATATCCTCTGCAAACCTGTCTTGCCAGGACAGTCTTTGTCCAACCTAGGGGGCAGAGGGAGCTCCCACTAACTGAATCATGGTTCAGTAGAGTCTACTGACAACTATTATTGTACTTCGCTTAACAATGAACCTGGCCGGGCACCTTGGATCCTTATCTGATTTGTGGTTTTTCACTGCTCTTGAGATCTGCTGTGTTACCTGCTTGCACAAGTCAACACAGCACACACAATTGCGCACACACGCCGCAGCGGACCCGTTCCCGTCACTGATGGAGCGGGAGACCCGCCAGGACACCACGCCGGTAAGTCCTGATGACCACAGTGATCAAACCCCGGTTGCCCACAAAAGAGCTCACATCCTGGGTGCTCTCAGAAGCTGGAAAAGTCTGCAGTCCAAAAGAGCAAGGGGGAGCTCTTCCAGCACTCCCGATTAGAAGGTATCGACACTCGACTATACTGCCATTGGAAAAGGTTCCGAAAAAGGGCAACAAAAACGATGAGGGGTTTGGAATGGGTCCCAGATGAAGAGAGATTTAAAAGACTTGGACTTTTCAGCTTAGAAAAGAGGAGACTGAGGGGGGATAGGAGAGAGGTCTATAAAATCATGAGTGGTGTGGAGAAAGCGAATAAGGAAAAGTTATTTACTTGTTCCCACAATATAAGAACTAGAGGTCACCCAATGAAATGAATAGGCAGCAGGTTTAAAAGAAACAAAAGGAAGTTTTTTTTCCCCCACTCAGCACACTGTCAACCTGTGGAACTCCTTGCCAGAGGAGGTGGTGAAGGCTAGGACTTTAACAGGGTTCAAAAAAGAGCTAGATAGTTTCATGGAGGTTAGGTCCATCAATAGCTAGTAGCCAGGATGGGTAGGAATGGTGTCCCTAGCTTCTGTTTCTCTGGAGGTGGGTGACAACGGAGAGATCAGGCTGTGTTTCCTGCCTCTGGGGTATCTGGTATTGGCCACTTTCAGCAGAGGCGGCTCAGGGATGGGGTATTAACAGGGTTCAAAAAAGAGCTAGATAGTTTCATGGAGGTTAGGTCCATCAATAGCTAGTAGCCAGGATGGGTAGGAATGGTGTCCCTAGCTTCTGTTTCTCTGGAGGTGGGTGACAACGGAGAGATCAGGCTGTGTTTCCTGCCTCTGGGGTATCTGGTATTGGCCACTTTCAGCAGAGGCGGCTCAGGGATGGGGTAGAGGTTTGGGGCTCAGAGGGAGTTTGGGTGCAGGAAGAGATTCCGACCAAGAGCAGGCAGTTGGGGGATCGGGGTGCGGGCTCCCTCCAGGTGCTCCTACTGGCTGCAGTTCCCGTCCAATGGGAGTTCCCAGACGACGGGACCCCTGCCTAGGGGCCGCAGGGACATGCCGGCCGTTTCCAGGAGCTGGACGGAGCCAGGACAAGCAGGGAGCCTGTCTTCACCCGCTGGACCGGGCGCTGCGGATGAGAACCTGGCGCCTGGACCCAGCACCCACCAGCACAGGGGCAGGGGGCGGTGGGCAGGGACGACCGAGTTACATGGACACAGGCAGGACGAGTCCTATTAATCTCATTTGGTGATCTCTAGTTCTTACGTTACGGGAACAAGTAAGTACGTTTTCCTTATTCGCTTTCTCCACACGAGTCATGATTTTATAGACCCCATCACATCCCCCCCAGTCCCCTCCTGGGGTTCGTAAAGAGATTGCAGGGGGAAGGACAGACAGAAAATGGACAGACAAGAGTCATCATCCTGGCAGTCACACCCCCACCCCAGCTACTGGGAGCCCACGTCCCGGCCAGACTGGGCCAGAGAGCAGATCCCAGATGACACGGCCATCTCTAGTGGCCCCAGCTGAATGCTTGGGAGAAATAGTACCCGACGCTAAGCAGCAGCTCCAGCTAAGGCAGGGGCAGGCAAGCCCACCCTGCCGGAACCCCAGGGCTCAGAGCTGGGGTCCAGTGCAGTGCCCAGGGAAACTGAAGCACACACTCAGGGTTCCAACAGAACAGTAGGAATCACGTGCAGCATGACAGAGCGAACACAACTCCCACTCCGTCACAGGGGGCTACTCCATAAATTGTGAGCCGTGGTCGTAGGCGGGCTCCAACCCGCGGGGCCTCAGGCCGAAGGGGCGGGGCTTTCTAGGCACTGCACGCCCCTGCCAGGGGAAGGAGACGTCACGCGCTCCCCAGCCCTCAGGCCAATCGGACAGCGTGACGTCATTTGAGAATCTTAGCTGCCAGCTGCCAAGAAAGCAGACCAGCCCGTTCCCAGACACTGGTTGTGGAGAACAGCCTGAGTGCGGCTCGGAGAGTGCAGGAACCAGAAGGCAAAGAACCCTGCTTGTATTTATTTGCAGATCTCATGCCTACAGGGGTGAGGGTGGGAGACCGCGACCGGGGGGAGGGTGGGAGACCAAGGTGACTTTGGAACATTCGAGGTGGGTGCGATCAAGCCCAGGGTGAAGGGGCGAGGGGGGAAGGGGTCCCTCTCTTTGCACCGGAGGGACCCAGGTCTAGCAGGGTCACACACACACCCCATCCTGCCTCGGGCGCGCCAGCCGCAGAGACGCGGGCCGCGCGGAAAGGCCTCGGAGAAGAGCTACAACAATCCTCGGGAGGAAAGGTGAGGCTCGTTCAGAGCGGCTGGCGGAAGCGGCCGAAAGGGCGGCTCTGAAACGCCTCCCGAGGAAAACACATGACCCCAGGGGAAGAGAAAATGAGGCGGGAGAATAAACGCTGGCGAAGCAACAGGAAGCGGTTACTGGGAACGGCGGCTGCGGAACAGAATGCCGCTAATGAGGAAGTACCCCATGGACGGGCACAGAAGCCAGCACTATTAAAGGGACAACGTCCCCTTCAAGTCACATCCCCTTCCAGACGGAGCTGTAAGCTCTCCCCGGAGCTAACAGCCACCCCAAATCCTTTGGGCAGGTCTTGTGGTGATGGAATCGCTTGACCTCGACTGCTCTTACAGCTGCGGAACAGAATGCCGCTAATGAGGAAGTACCCCATGGACGGGCACAGAAGCCAGCACTATTAAAGGGACAACGTCCCCTTCAAGTCACATCCCCTTCCAGACGGAGCTGTAAGCTCTCCCCGGAGCTAACAGCCACCCCAAATCCTTTGGGCAGGTCTTGTGGTGATGGAATCGCTTGACCTCGACTGCTCTTACAGCCCAAAGGATAAAAATCCATCTAAAATATTGGACTTTTTAAAATTCATATTAAATATGTAAAAAAAAGACATCACGTTTGAAATTGACCACCTGCGTTAAGGTCTAGACTTACGCTCTATTAACATCGTTTAAAATAAATACAGCACGATAACAGGAAGCCGTACATCTGCTGCCACGTTTGAAAGATGGTCAAGCCACCGAACTGGCAGGAGTCGCTGGGGTAGCAGCTGGAAATTCTCAACCAGCTTTTGCGAGCAACAGCGTCTTCTGCAGGGGCAGGGAACGTATTTTCTTCACCTCCGTTTGCTCGGCTAGTTCAGCTCAATGGCCAGTTCCTTCCAAGTGCAGAAGTCAACTGGGAACTGAAAAAGAAGCGAGCTTGTTTTCCTCTTCCAGTCTGAGAATCGAAACTAGAAGTAAGAGACTGAGCTGTACTAGTTCTAGAATGCAGGATGGGGGGGGACGAGAAACAATCGATTCATTTCGCTGACTGCCCGTATTTTCTGTCTTTAATAAAGCGGTTCGTTTTAAATGCAAACCATGTTGCAGTACACTCTTTGAAGCCAGCACTTTTAGGGTCGTTTAAGAAAAAAAATTAAATGGCGGTTTTGTGCGTTTTAATTGAATTTGAATTCTCATCCAAGTTAATCATCTATTGAATAAGAAATGCTTCGGGTCCCCATTTTCTCATTGCATAAATATTAAAAATGAAGAATCTGAATAAAACGTTCAAACTGAGTCTATAGCTATCGCGTATCCTCCCGATTAGCAAAAAGCAGCACTGAATTTAGCACAAAGGCTGCGTATTTCTTTGCAAATCAACATGGCTCCATGGTTACTGCCAACGGGGAACGGACCCGTCTTTTGGAAAATATAAAGTGCAAACACAACACACAAATAATATCGATGATTTAAATCAAGGCTTCCTCCTGGGTGATTTCAATCGACCCACTCTGTTACAAAGGCCGTTTTCGGCCTTGTTTCTGCAGGGGAACAGCTGACTTGGTGGAGGAAACCGAATACAGTACTGGCTACCCAGAGCTCGGCCAGGGGCTGTTTGGTGCAGCTTTCCACACGGAAATATTTTGGTTAGGCTCATGGTATCCCTGTAATACTGGAGCTGATCTTGGCCCTGCTGTCTCCAGACCAACCCTTGGGCCCAGCATAGTGTCAATTGCCAACAGGCCTATGCCACAAGAGAGAGGGTGAGTGACAAACGCCCAGGTTTGACTCTTTCCACTCAATGCAGGCGTGCCAACCCCCTCCCCCAACACTCACACTCACACTCACACTCACGGGACCATGATACTAGAAAGTAATGAGCAGAAGGAAGAACACGGCTGTGAAGCGACCTCCTCCAAAGGTATCTAGGCACCTAACACCCTCTAAAACCAATGGGAGTTAGGCACCACTAGAGAGAAATGAGCAGAAGGAAGAACGCGGCTGTGAAGCGACCTCCTCCAAAGGTATCTAGGCACCTAACACCCTCTAAAACCAATGGGAGTTAGGCACCAAAACACCTTTGAGGAGCTGGGTGTAAATTCGCCAGGTTAGTCGAGGCCATAGTACAATGTGAACAGCGCCTGTTGGTCGGGGGGAAGGTGGAGCTAAGTGGGACGGGAGACCTGGGTGCAGCTCCCGGCTTTACCAAAAGGTGACGTTAACGGACTAAAATAGGACCACGTCAAGGCTTGCTGCAACCACCGTTCTATATTTCCAGCAAATCGTGCGCAGAAGGGGCGACGGGCTGGGGGTTCTGTCCACTCTTGTAGTCCTCTGTTCACTCTGGTTTTGTATTCACTGGGGCTAGGTCTGGACTGCAGGCCTCTTTCGGAAGAAGCTTTTCCAGCAGAGATCTCCCGAAAAAACGTCTTCCGAAAGAATGCGTCCACACTGCCAAAGCGATTCGAAAAAGCGATAGCATCCACACTGAATGGACACTATCTCGCATGTAAGCTGTGATTGCTATGGGCCGAGTGGCCACCAGGGTACCTGTGCTTTTTCCTCTTCCCTCGACTTTCAAAAGTACTCCCTCTTCTCCATCCACACACGCCTTTTCCCGAAAGAGCTCTTTCAAAAAAAAGCGTCTTCTTCCTAGGAAGAGGTTTCCCAATATCGGGAAAACCCCTCTGGTCTTTCGATTTTTTTTTCTGAAAGAATGCAACTGCAAAGTGCGTCTTCTTCCTAAGAAGAAGTTTCCCAATGTCGGGAAAACCCCTCTGGTCTTTCGATTTTTTTTCCCCGAAAGAATGTGACTGCAAAGTGGACGTTAAGTGAGGGTTTTTTGGGGAAAATGACCGTTTTTCTGAAAAAACTCTCCCCGAAAGAATGTGACTGCAAAGTGGACGTTAAGTGAGGGTTTTTTTGGGAAAATGACCGTTTTTCCGAAAAAACTCTGCAGTGTACACATAGCCTGGTTGTGGGCAACGGGATTTCTGGGGGAGTGGCCTGACGCCTGAGCTAGGTGCTGGATTCAGTCTGGTGACACTTTGCCTCCCGGAATCTGAACAGAGCAGGAGGCGGAGTCTGGGGGGCTGGGAGCAGTGGCTGTGGGTCTGAGTTAGTTTTCGGCTGGCTTGGAGGAGAAGGGAGCCTAGTGGCCTGCAGGGGGAGCTGGGGCCCAGAGCTGGGGTTCTTGGCCCCCCTTTCCCAGAGATGATGGTACTGGCTGACAAGGCATCTGGGCGACACTGGGTCTCTGTCAACCCACACACCTTCTGTTCTACCTGCCGGCTGAATCTCACCCCTGGGTGCGGGTGGGGGTGCAGCACTCCGTGAGAGAAGGCAGCCGAGGGAGGGGCCAGGAGGGGTTCTGACCATCCGAGTGCAGTGACTCTATTGGTCTGCAGGTCTCATTTTCGTACCTGAAGCACTGAGCTTTGGGCCCTGTGCTTGGATTTCAAGGCGTCTCCTTTGGAGATGACCCAGTGAAGCATCAGCCCGTGCACGGACTATTCAAGTTGATGGCCCACTGAGGAGGCGGCCGCGGCAGATACTTAGCCTGGGGAGGGGCCAATTCACAGCCGAGGAGCTTTCCTGGGAGCGTTTGGACCAGCAGGGGGCGGAAATGGCTTCTACCCGCAAAGAGTCAGCCACGGACGGGTGACTTGCCCCAGGTCGGTTCCCGTGCCTGGACACCGTCTTGGTACAGCACATCTCCATGGTAAGAACACCGGGCGTCCCGCCACATGGCAGAAGCCACCAGAAGACCTGGGGATCTCTCCAGCTGGTCTCTTTCCTGCTCCAGCCTCTGGGCTGCGGACTCGCCCCAAGGGGAGCAATGGAGCCAAGGGGCCGAGGACCTGCCAACGATTTGGAAGTAGCGAAGTTCATCGACTTGGGGAGTATGATGGGCAGAGACGGAGGAACAGACAAGGAGATCAGGGCTAGGCTAGGGAAAGCAACAGCTGCATTCAAGACTCTTCGTCCCATATGGAGCTCACAAATAATATCTGCGAAGACGAAACTGAGGATCTTCAACACAAATGTGAAGAGGGTGCCTTGTATAGATGTGAGACCTGGCATACTAAAAAGTCTTCAAATCACAAGCTACAGACATTCCCACACAGCTGCCGGCGGTAAATCCTTCACATCAAATGGCAAGACTGTGTCACAAATGAGGAGCTTTGGAACAGAGCAGGACAAGAACCACTTGATGTTGAAATCAAGAGAAGAAAGTGGGGATGGCTAGGCCACACTCTCAGAAAACCAGCATCCAGCACAGCCCATCAAGCTCTCACATGGAGCCCGCAAGGAAAACGCAAGAGGAAGGCCTCAGACAACGTGGACATCTGCTGAGACTGAAGGACAACAACTGGGGTACTTCTGGAGTCAGCTAGACGTTTTGTCTCAAGACAGAGTGAAGTGGAGGAGACTTGAAGATGACCTACGCTCCACTCGGAGAGCAAGGGTTTAAGAAGAAGAAGAAGAGACGTGACTTGAACCAGGAGTTGGTTCCTTCATGCCACCAGCCTGAGCCAAGACCTCGGCAACTGGTGTGTGGATTTGATTCAGTTGACCAGTTTTAACTCCCCCCTTCTTTTTATAAGCAAGTCTTTGGATTTTAACAAAAGACAGGACGATGTAGCACTTTAAAGACTAACAAGATGGTTTATTAGGTGATGAGCTTTCCTGGGCCAGACCCACATCCTCAGATCAATTTGTGGAAGAAAATTGGCAGGACCATATATACCAAAGGGATACAATCAAAAAAAGTGAACACATAAAATCGACAAATCAGATTTTAGAACAGAGGAGGGATGGGGGGGAGGTTAATGTCTATGAGATAATGATATTAGAGGTGATAATTGGGGAAGCTCTCTTTGTAATGGGTAAGATAATTAGCATCTTTGTTAAGGCCCATTCATAAAGTGTCAAATTTAAGCGTGAATGACAGGTTCAGAGGCTTCTCTTTGAAGTCTTGTGTTAAAAACTCGTTGAAGCAGGATGCAGGTAGTCAGGTCATTGAGACAATGCCCAGTCTGGCTGAAATGGCAAGACATTGTTTTTTCTTTGTGAAACTGTCTGATGTCTGTTTTGTGTGCATTGATTCTTTGGCGAAGTGTCTGAGAAGTTTGTCCAATGTACATAGCAGACGGACACTGTCGGCACATGGTGGCATAAATTATATTTCTGGATGAGCCGGAATATGTGTTCTTGATCTTATAACTGACAATTTCAGTGGTGGGGCCAGCGTTCCCACACCAGTGCCCCAGGAGACCGTAATGCACCTCTGACTCCCCCTACACCCCGGCATGCACTTTCACGTGCCCCGCGCCACAGGAATCCCCAAAGCAGAAAGGGAGCTGGTGCTGAGCAGGAAAACCTCGGCCCCCAAGCATGGGACCAAGAGACAGGATCCAGCCAATGGCCCACGGGGGCCTGGGACTGATTCATAGAATCCGAGAACACTAGAATTGGAAGGGACCTTGAGAGCCATCAAGTCCAGTCCCCTGCCCTCATGGCAGGACCAAGCACCGTCTAGACCATCCCTCACAGGTGTCTGTCCAACCTGCTCTTAAATATCTCCAGAGATGGGGATTCCACAACCCCCCATGGCAATTTATTCCAGTGTTTAACCACCCTGGCAGTTAGGAATTTTTTTCTAATGTCCGACCTAAACCTCCCTTGCTGCAGTTTAAGCCCCTTGCTTCTTG